TAAGAATAAATTTCTTGGGAGCATGATGCTAGTGGCTCATGCTTGTAATCCTAGTTATGTAGGAGGCTGAAATCTGAGGATCATGGTTCAAAGCCAGCCAGGAAAAGTCTGTGAGACTCTTATCTTCATTTAACCACCAGAGAGCTGGAAGTAGAGATATGGCTCAAAGTGGTAGAGCCTTGAAGAAAAGAGCTCGGGGACATCACTCAGGCCTTAAGTTCAAGCCCCATGACAGACAAAAAGAAAAAGAATAAATTGCTTGGGAAAGGTCTATTATTAAAACTTTTGATAGAAGATTATATCATATTGACTAGGAATAGCAAATAGTGTTAGGTTATGTCATACATGCTCCAATAATTTACTTCTTATGACAACAACACAAATATTACTCAATATCAAATCCATTGTATTATTGAGTTTGGGTAGCAAAACTGAAAAATGATGCATCTGGTGCTATTCAAGTCAAATTGATTCCAAATCAGTTTGTAAATAGTAGGAGTTTGGATTGAATATAATTCTTTCTATCAGGTCCTAAATTTAGAAAGTGAGAACACCCGTATTATTATAATTTGAAGAATAAAGAGGAAATGAAGGCCAGGGAAAGTAAAGTAACTTGTCATAGTTCATGTAGCTAGTCAATTTTGGATATTGGACATAGGACTTTGAACGTGGATCCAGGGAGTCTGGCTTTTCAGTAAGTACTTTCTTTGCTGTCCTGGCTTTCACTAGGACTCAAAACTATGAAGTAGAAATTTTAGAGCCTAAAATAAAATTGGAAAGAATGGTCACTATGAAGTTATATTCATGTTCACAAAAAAGACCAGACATTTAGTAGTAACCTACATGTTGACAAAAATTTATATTCATAATGCTCTTCAACCAAGTAGCCTTAAGGGTGTTGTCTCTAAATTTTTTGAAAATATTATAGCATTTTATAGTTGATGATGGTTTTAGAGGTGTTACTCCAGTCTTACATTTTATATGCTGAGAAACAGCTTCAGAGGAATGAAGGGCCTATCAAACACTTCTGTGTTAGTGCAAAACTGTACAAACTCTTAAATTGTCTCACTCTGCAAGAAAAGGCTGCCTTTGACCTCCCAGATCAAATCTACACTGCCCCTGACATGAAAATATATTAAAGACTTTCCTGAAAGTGAGGAGAAATGAAGACACTGTGGCTGAATCTGACCATAGACTTAATCCTTCAATTTATATCACAGCAGGATAATTTAGTATGTACTGAGCTACAATTTCTAGAACTCCTTCCCACACAGAGTGAGTCTCTGTGAATGATGTGTGAGAGTTTCTTAAGACTTTAAGAATCTCCTTGTGTGAGGCCCTGACTCCACATCAGAGTAGTTTGGCACCTTGCTCTCCTAATTTCTTGGTGGCCAGATGGATTTTCCTCTTGTTCTATTTTCTTCAGTTCTTCAAAATGCATTCTGTTCTCCTGAGGCTACACATCTTAATTACTTTGGTTTGTCTATTAATCTTGACATCCAAATTCTTGTTAGCAATTGTTCTTTCTTCTTTTCCTTCATCTCTTCCTCTTCCTCCTCCTTATTCTTCCTTCTTTCTTTTCCTTCTCCTTTTCCTTCTTCTTTTGTCGGTCATGCGGCCTGAACTCTGGGCCTAGGCTCTGTCCCTCAGCTCTTCAGCTCAAGGCTAGTGCTCTACCACTTGAGCCACAGCACCACTTCCGGCTTTTTCTGCTTATGTGGTGCTGAAGAATCAAACCCACGGCCTCATACATGCAAGGCAAGCACTCTACCACTGAGCCACCTTCCCAGCCCAACTGTTCTTTCTTCTGAACTTGGAATTTCTTTTAGTATTTCCTTAGAGTAAAAGCACTGTGAAGTTATTATTACTTTTTTTTTTTTTTTTGCAGTAAAATTTGACAGGGAAGCCAGACAGATAAATGTTCCGTTTCTGGCACAGACACTGTTAGATGAGATAACAATTGCGATGCAGGGCTTGGATTAAGGACTATTAATAGTTTATACAAGAAGTCTGTTATGTAATATGTACCTAATAAATGAAAGATGTCAACATTATTATTGTTCATATGAGAAGCATGGCTACTTCTTAGAGATAACTCTTCACACCAATGTAGCTGACAGTTTTATATAATAAAGTGTAATATAATAAAACTGTTCTCTATGTGTGTGTAAGGGGGGGGAGGAAAATTCAGTTCCTTTTAAGTGGCTTATCTCATATTATTTTGCTTGATCCAGGGCTATTTTGGGAAAAACAAAAAGGCCAAATATTGTTCTTCAGTGCATTTTTAAATTAATAGAATCCAAGATTATAATGGCGGGTCCATTGAATATAGACTCATGTTATAATCAATATTCAAAATGGAGTAGAAACTAGGCTGTATGTTAAATTGGTGAAAATTGTGGCTAAACCATCAGCGATTTTTATCCAAACTCGTCAGAATAAAACTTGTTTTCTTTTTTTTTTTTTTTTTGCTGATCCTGGGGCTTGAACTCTGGGGGCCCTGGGATCTGTTCCTGAGCCTCTCTGTGCTCAAGGCTAACGCTGTACCTCTTGAGCCACAGCGCTACTTCCGGCTTTTTCTGTTTATGTGGTACTGAGGAATTGAACCCAGGGCTTCATACATGCTAGGCAAGCACTCTACCAATGAGCCACATTCCCAGCCAAAATTTGTATTCTGTATTCCCATAGGTTACATAACCATTTTTTAAAAGCTCCATTATGATTTGTCTATGGTATTCCTGAGTTTATCTCTTCATATAGTTTCTAGAGGTTGCTCTAGGTATTATTTAATATATGATAGTTATATAGATTTACATATGTGTATATTTTACAGTAACAAGTTTACTTTTATTGGTTTGAATAAAGGGAGCAGCTTTGTCTCCCTTTGCATAATTTTACTCCTTTAGTTTTTTTTTATTTTGTCCTTTGTGGGGCTTGAACTCTGGGCCTGGGCACTGTCCCTGTGCTCTTCAGCTCAAGGCAAGAGCTGTACCTCTTGAGCGCCACTTCTGGTTTTCTAGTTTTTTTTTTTTTTTTTAATTGGAGATCAGAGTCTCACGGACTTTTCTGCCCAGGCTGGCTTTGAACCATGATCCTCAGATCTCAGCCTCCTGAGTAACTAGGATTTCAGGTGTGAGCCACCAGCGCCCGGCAGTTTTTCCCCTTTTTACTATGATTGTCATAAATATTTCCCTCAGATTTTGAGCACTACATAATATGACCTGCTTCAGCTATCAAACCCAAGTTGGAAAACTCAAAAAGAGAAAATGATTTCTCCATATTCTTCCTTTTTTTCCTGTTCCTACATTATTTTTTTTTGGGGGGGTCCGGTCATGGGGCCTGAACTCTGGGCCTGGGCGCTGTCCCTCAGCTCTTCAGCTCAAGGCTAGCGCTCTACCACTTGAGCCACAGTGCCACTTACGGCTTTTTTCTTTTTGCTTATGTGGTGCTGAGGACTCGAACCCAGGGCCTCATGCATGCAAGGCAAGCGCTCTACCACTGAGCCACCTTCCCAGCCCCTGTTCCTACTTTTTGAAGCCCAACTATTCCTTCTATTATTATTCATACTGGGTTTCAAATGCAGTGTGTGTATGTGTGTGTTTGTGTTTGTGTGTGTGTGTGTGTATGTTGGTACAGGGATTTGAACTTAGAGCCTTTTGCCTGGCTTTTTTGCTCACAGCTGGTGAGCAATCACTAGAGAAAGTATCATTATGACACATCAATATTTTCTGGTCTCTTTTTGTTATTTTAATCTAAATCTTTGCCTTGAATATGTCTAAATATCTAGGTACAATAGAGAGGGAAGATAACTTTGAATAGAACATTTTAAATAATGTAACCTTTATGCTAAACACCACTTTACAAAATGTCTTTGTCTTACCTCCCAGCCTTTGAGCTAAGATCAACTGCATTGCTATGAAATCAAACTGTCAATCACCACTAATTTGGACTTTATAGTAATACATATCTGGCTAGTTGACATTAAGCTTTGATATGCCTTTGGAAAAGTGAGTCTATGCCAAGAAATGAAGTAAATAATATTTCAAATGGGACCATTTACTTGCTTAAGACAATAGACCAATTAAAAATGAGAAATTTAATATAAAACCAAATATTAGTAGACTGAGATAAATATGTCGCATGCACTTTATCATATATATTTAAGCCAGACTACCAAGGTATTGACTTCAATAACAGTTGGATAAGCTAGAGCTGGTCTAAATGTGATGATAGACTCTATTTCTTTTTCAGTAGTCTACTTTATATTGTTACCTGGAGTAGGAATGAGGCCTTCACTAGAGATGAAGGAGTCCCAGATCTCTTACTTAATTGAAGAGTCTGCATTTTAACAGTTGCCTGATGCTGTTGATGGCATCTGTGAGACTGCGAGGGCTTTGTGTTTAACAAACAAAACACAAGAAAGTACATGTAGGGGACAGACTGGACAGCTTGGAAGTATTTCTTTTTTTTTTTGGGTCCGGTTGTGGGGCCTAAACTCTGGGCCTGGGCGCTGTCCCTCAGCTCTTCAGCTCAAGGCTAGCGCTCTACCACCTGAGCCACAGCGCCACTTCCGGCTTTTTTCTTTTTGCTTATGTGGTGCTGAGGAATCGAACCCAGGGCCTCATGCATGCAAGGCAAGTGCTCTACCACTGAGCCACATTCCCAGCCCAGCTTGGAAATATTTCTAACCCAAGAGACTTTCTATGTTCTTTTTCCATTTGAAAAACCTCTTAGCGTTTTCTAAAGCTGTCTCCAGCAAGCGGTGGTGGCCAGCTTACAAGTTACCTTCTCACATTCTACTTGAGGTACTAAATCAGACCTTGAGAGACTGACTCATATGACTTCCTACTTAATGATGGTGATAAATTTAGATCTCTAGGTGAAAATAAATAACAAAGTTCATTTTCTGAAGATAATGAAGGGTGGTCCATTGAATATTTATCAGTTGTGGGTGGATGAATATTTATCAAGGATCAGGGTTTGAAATATTTCCCTTTTGGGGGGATTAGGTTGTAGTGGTCAGCATATTTACATAAATGCAGTAGTAGCCATTGGTCTCTTGTTGTTTTGTGAAGATTTATCCATCCTTGGTGAATGACCTAGAGGTGAACTGCAGAAACAGACTTCTTGGTCATCCTTATTGACTTCAGAAATATGATTAATCTTTATCTCTTAAGTGATCATTCTCATCCTATGGTAGAATGGTAGAGGATACATTCTGGCTTATTCTAACTTTAGAAACAAAAATCTGAAGTATCAATGTCTCCCCACTCTCACTCCCCTTTGACAAAACATGTAGCTTCCAACTATTCATTTTGTTAAACTTTAAATTAATTGTTGAAAGGAGTTACATCATTGGAATTCTCCCCTGCATAGAGAGAAAACATGTGCCTTTTGTCTCTGTGAGCCTGACCTACTTCACTTATCATTAATTTTTCCAAATATCCATTTCCTCATAAATATTATTCTGCTGGTGAATGATTAAAATTCCATTGTACACACACACACACACACACACACACACACACACTTCTTGATTCACTCATCCATTGTAGAACATTTGAACTATTGCCATAACTTGTCAATGGTGAATAGTGCAGCAAAGAACATAGCTGTGCAGGTGGTTTTATCTTATTTGTAATCTTTTGAATAAATGCCCAAGAGTGGCATCCCTGGATCAAAGGGTAGTTCTATGTTAAGTGTTTTGCGAAATATCCAAGCTGCTTTCTGTAATGGTTGTGCTAATGTACATTTCTACCATAGCTATACAACATGTCTAACAAGGGCCTAATATCCAGAATATACAGAAAACTCAAGGAACCACCCTTCCTGCAAATAATAACCCAATTAATAAATGATCAAAGGAGCTAAATAAAGGATTCTAACAAGAAGTGAAAATGGACAATAGACACATGAAGAAATGCTCAACATCTCTGGCCATAAAATGGAAATGCAAATAAAAACATTGAGATCCTGTCTTACCTTAGTAAGAATGAGAATCATTAAGTATAGGAATAACAACAAATTGTGGCGGTGATTCAAGGGATAAATGGAACAATTATTTTGAACTATATCTCCCCTTACTTGCGCTCTCTGTTTCCCTCCCCCTGTCCCTGCCCACATAGTGTCTAGTAAATACCACTGTTGTATTTGTTCACTCTTTGCTCCATCTTTTCTGTTCCTCCTTACCCTCCCAAATAGAAACTAACAAAGAAGACAAGGAAAAGAAAACAAAAACATCAGCAACAGCATCTAAAAACATCTATTCCTTTTCTTGGAGTTCATTTCTTAAATTATTATTTTATATAATCATATGCACATAGCTATTGAGCCTTTGTGATCTGCTCCTATGTATATCCTTCTTTGATCTCAATGTGTGAATGTCTAAAGGGCTATATAATTTATCATGTCCCATGTATAAACTTTATTACAAAGCCATAGTAATAAAGACAGCTTGGTACTGGCACAGGAATAGGCCTGAAGACCAATGGAACAGAAGATCTAGAAATAAGTCCAAAAACATATAGTCCCTAATATTTGATAAGGGAGCCAAGAACACAATTTGGAAGAAAGACAGACTCTTCAACAAACGGTGTTGGCAAAACTGGCCATCCATGTGAAGAAAACTGAAGCTAGATATTCATTTATCATCCTCACCAGAATCAATTCTAAATGGATCAAAGACTTCAGTGTAAGGCCAGATACCATGAAAATATTACAGGGAAGGGTAGGATAAACACTGGGCCTTCTAGGCATGCATGGGTCAAAACTTTCTAAGTAAGGATTCAGAATCACAACAAATCAATAGAAGGACTGGATAAATGGGCTTCCATCAAAGGGAAGAGTTTCTGCATGGCAAAGGACATAGCTAGCAAGATAAATAGAAAGCCCACAGAACAGAAGAAGAGACAAGGGCTTCATATTTAAAATATACTTAGAGTTCAAATAATCTTTATTCCAAGGCTAAATCTTTGTTCTTCTTTTGTGGCTGCACTGAAGAAGGTCCTGTGATTTCCATGATATCTTCTCCTCTTTAGTTGCCAGCTCAACTACCAACACCTCTACCAAATGGATGGAAAGTAAAAAGTAGGAAAACCAGCCCCATGGAAGAGACAAACTTGCACCCTTGCTCTGTGTAGGTGAAGCAGATATTCTCTTAAACCTGCTGAACAATTACTTAAATTCCCTCACCAGTGTACGTGCTCAAAGGAAATGTGATTAACAATGCTTGAAAAAAATGACTCACTACCTTACTCATGTAACAGTAACCTCTTTGCACAGCATCTTTATAATAAAATAAAAAATTTTAAAAAGGAAACGTGATTACTATTACACTACAGAAAGAAAAAAATAGGAATGACCAAGAAGGAAAAGTGCAGAAGAGGCTACAGTTGGTAGTTCAAGTTGGGAATGTAACCTAAGGTTTTTTTTTTTACTAGAGGGAAAAATGCTTTTCCTGCCCATTTTCAAGAGCTATTTGAACAGAAGAAACGGGCTGATCTGCACATAAACCTCACCAAGCTGGTGCCTTCCAAATGATTTCTGATATCACTCAGGGCAGGCCTTATGGATAAGTAGAAGGAAGGCCAGAATTGTGACTCATTCAACTACTTCCTTCCTCTCATTCTTCTTTGAATGCTGAGGTGTCCCAAAACTTCAGCCATTCTTTGAAAGCTGAGCTCAGGAATACTTTTCCCCCCTATGTATTCTAGTCCAATGCAAATATTTGTCTATTGAGAAATGTATAGCACTGTAGGATCATAAACCCACCATCTGCTTAGAATGAGCCAACACCCACCTGCAGGGAGACGGATACAGCCCTGTATCCTGTTTCTCCAGCTCTTAATCAAAGGCAGCTGAGGGCTGTGGGGCCCTGGCTTGTTTAGCTGCCCCGTGCTAAGGTCATCTGTTAAATTCCAAAAGGGTGTGTATAGTTGTCACAACTTAGAGATTATTTTCAGTATTTCTTAAGAGAAATTTTTGTTCAGTGTTGGGGTTAGAAAGACGTTACCTTGCCATCAGCTTGGGGAAAGTGGGTGCATTCATGAATTTTCTCTTCTCAGAGTCTGGTATAAACAACTAGAGGGGAAAATGCCAATATCATTTGTCTCTCTGCACAAAGTCCACATTTCCGAGCTCCCACAGGCTTTTTTTTGGGGGGGGGGGTCCAGTCGTGGGGCCTGAACTCTGGGCCTGGGTGCTGTCCCTCAGCTCTTCAGCTCAAAGCGAGCGCTCTACCACTTGAGCCACAGCGCCACTTCCGGCTTTTTTCATTTTGCTTTATGTGGTGCTGAGGAATCAAACCCAGGGCCTCAGGCATGCAAGGCAAGCGCTCTACCACTGAGCCACCTTCCCAGCCCCTATTTCCCTATTCTTAAAAAGGACAGAGTCAAAGAAAGCTGTGTGTCTTATTAATGTTATTATTTGTCCTGGGACTGAGTCTTGAACTTAGGGTGTCCCTGAGCACTTTTGCTCAGGCTAGCCCTCTAACCTTGAGCTACAGGTCTACTTCTGGCTTTTTGTGGTTAATTGGAAATAAGGGCCTCACAGACTTTTCTTGGCCTGGATGGCTTCCAACTACAATACTCAGATCTAATTATGACCTCTAACGAGCGAGACAATCCATCCATCTAGGCACGGTTAAAGATAACAAGCACATTTATTTACACTACTTACATCAAAAAGGGGGCTGTGACTACCTTGTCCTGGGCTAGAGGTTAGATACACAGAACCAAGAGCAGCCTCGACCACCAAACCTCCAAGTCTCCAATAGACAGCCTCGACCTGTATTAGTCAGTCTTCAAACCTCCAAGCCTCAGTCCTCCAAAGCTCCAAAGCTCCAAAGGGGCAGGCTTTTCCATTTCTTCCCTTCCTCCTCCTCTGCAGGCCTGTCCACTCTCCACAGGCCTCTGGCCCTGCCCTCCTCAGGCCTGCCCTGCTCTGCTCCAGCAGGCTTTCCCTTCCTGCTGCCTCTCTCCACGATCTCTACGCTACTCCCCACCTCCTCTTTCTCTCTACATCCGCGTCTCCCCTTCTTCTTCCCCCTACTCTCCGCCTTTCCCCCCATTGCTTGGAACATATAGGCTGCACCCCTCCCCTCCTCCAGCGGGACTACTCTCCACTCAACTTCTGCCGTTGCTTGAAACACGCAGCCTCTATCCCCCACTAATGGTTTCCAACAGCCATTCACGCTCCTCCTCCTAGCTGTCCACTGTCCAATCCCAATAGGCAGCTCAGCATGTGGGGCTCGAAGCCCAGCCTCCAGCAGCACGCCCCGCCCTTTCGGCGGCATGCCCCGCCCCTCCGGCGGCACACTCCGTGGGGCGGTGACATCAGCCTCAATGCCCACTCCCTCCCGTGGCCCAGTCTGTGGCGCGGTTAAGCCGGCCTGTTGATGCCCCGCTGGGCATTGAAACCACACTGATTATTGGGCCCCGCTGATTAAGCTTCCCCCTCTCCCCCTTGCTGGTTATTACAAGCTGAGCCTTCTGAGTAGTCAGGGTAACAGACATGAGCTACTGGAGCACGGCTCTTACCATCATCATTATTGTTATTGTTATTGTTGTTGTTGTTAATTATTATTTTAAATGATTGTTATTCCTTATTTTAAACAGACAAAACCTGTAGTGGTTCATCTTGGAGTTCTCTACCCTGGCTCTCTCCTTTTGACAGTTGGAAGATGAATTACTCTGGGAGAGTTCTTTACCTGAAACAACTCTCCAGAAGACAAAAAATTCAGGTGGGATCTCTTCACAGAACGTTTTCCTCTGAGGGCTTTGCCTTTGAGATCATTTGGGAAAATTTGTAAAGAAAAATAAGACGGAACGTTCACTGACTTGAATTTTAGAGTTGTTTGGCATAGATCATCAAGGATGTGTGTGTGTGTGTGTGTGTGTGTGTGTGTGTGTGTGTGTGTGTGTGTGTGTGTGTGTGTGTGTGTTGTTGTTGTTGTTGTTGTTGCTGTTGCTGCGGCTGAACTCAGGGCCTGGACACTGTCCTTTAGCTTTTTCCTACTCAAGGCTGGCACTCTACCCTTCGAGTCACAGCTCCATTTCTGACTTTTTTTTT